GGCAGCCGTGGTGCCGTCCGTCAGCAGCGGAGGCGATGACCGTGGAGACGCCTTCGGCAGTGGCAGTGGCATGCATTCCACTAACGCCGTACTGCAGTACATTGTTACGAACGTAGCGCGTGGCAGGGGCCGTGCACGTCAGGGGCCCCTGGAGTCCTGTGAAAGTGTGCCATCGACATCTATCACTGCGCCGAGCATTGAGGCGACCCTGGGCATCGGTATTCCGTCACCGATCATTGACCAGAACGCTGAGCTGAAATTGTTCAACCCGCCGTCACCGCCGCAGCCGCCACTGTCGATCTTCGATCTGCCCCGTGGCGCCACGGACGTTGAAGCGGCAGCAGAAGCAGGTGAAACCAGCTGCATCGGTCGCAGCGCTGCTGCTGCTGCTGCTTCTGCCGCCGCTGCTACTGCTGAATCTGCCGCCGCCGCTATTGCTGCGGCACCCGCCGCAGCTGTGCACGCCGCTTCACCTGTCGCTTCACCCGCCGCTGCCGCCAGCACAGACGCGTTGGACAGTTGTTGCTGGCATGAAGTCACCGTTACCAGGCTGCAAGACCCCGTGAGCGGCCAACCAGCCTTATTGATAACTCAATGGGACATCACTGCACGGGTTCGTGCTGAGCGACTGATCGCGGAGGTTCAGGAGACAGAGCACCGCCTGCTTGAGTCCATCTTTCCGAGGTACGTCGTGGCTGGGTGGTTGGACGGGCTGTGTGGGTGTTGGAACCGTCCGGATGGCCCGGCACAGCTAACGGCGAATGTGGTTTGTTACCGCATCTAGACAGGGCAGCTGAGTGGGATAAAAATGCATCGCTTACATGCGATCGGGCGTATTCCGCGAGCAGCAAAGCTTTACCGTGCTTTGTACTTTGACCTGTACGACTGCATGCAGGCATGTGCTTGAGGTTGCGGCGGCCGCTAGCTTTGGCGGCAGCACCGCCAATTCTCCGACCGCGCGTCAGCTCCAGGGAGCGCGCCCGAGCGGATCGGGCGGCGTGGGTACCCATAGCGACGGCAAGCGCGGCCGCCGGCGGAGTGTGCGTCGGCCGTTGACGGCAACGCGTCAAGGACGGCCTTCCGGCCGTACGAGCACAGCGAACGCCAATGTGTACGGCAGCCTCATGCAAGTGCCGCTGGCTGCCAACTGTTCCTCGCTGGCCACTTACCACCCTATGGTGAGGTCTGTCGCTCTGCTTGGTCGCTGCTTTGGTCAGGGTTTGTTAGTTTGGATGCGCGAACTTGATGCGTGAACGAGATGAAGGGCGATTGATGCGTGAGTGAATGAATGGCACCATACCAGGCGCGACTGCTTGAGTGAGCGAGCGATGGCGTCATCAACCCCGTCTTCGGGCAATTCCATTCCTGACGGATCCGCAGGAGCGGGGAGCGAGCAGCAGGCTGTCACGCAAGTATGTGGGTGCATGTGCGGCCGCGTCCGCGGTGCCCTGCTCACTCCTCAATCCTCCGGAAGACAGACACACACACACACACACACACACACACACACACACACACACACACACACACACACACACACACACACACACACACACACACACACACACACACACACACACACACACACACACACACACACACACACACACACACACACACACACACACACACACACACACACACACAAAAAAAAAAAACATAGCGTACGAACATGCAGGTTACAAAACCAAAATTTCTCTCCCCAAAGTTGCGTTAGTCGCCCTCCATAAAATGTGTGCCGCATAAAACTTCACGCCACACATCGTTTCGCCGTGAATTTTTATACAAAGCTCTACTGAACCTATCTCCATTTAGCCCTTAGCTGAGGGATGTTACTATTAGAGCTTTCTGCGATAGCGGCTTCCCGACCGATGTGGCCTCCGCCTGCCCTGCTCTGCCGCCAAGTACAAGGGCTTCGTGGGTCTCATCAGACTGTTGGCTGGGCCAGCACGGCTAGATAGTTACTACTGCACCACCGGCATGTCGTCTCACGAATGCCTAACACAGATCTAACATACACCACAACGTTTACCATCTGGGATTGGTGCGTTATTTTCTTCGTCAGGAAATCCGCCAGGACGTCCCATCGATACCGTAAGGGAGCATTATGTATTCCGCGTTTTGGGGACGACGTTGCTCCATTGAAAGGTCCTTGCCGTTGTTGAGAGAAGACAAAAAGCAATGGTCGGTGCACGCACGTGCTCTCGCCACATAGCCACATAACCGCGAGCCCGCCCTCGAGCTACTTACTGCCCGAATACCAGGTGCCGAGAAACACCCCGCAAGGAGGTGGGGGTACTGCACCCCTACGTTTGCCCTTCCCTCCATAATACACATATTTTATTGTGCCGCCGATACACACGACATACCCAACGAACATCGACGCACATGTATTTCCCCGCTTAGTGTGCATATCCAGCATCTTCTCTAGCAAGGCGAAAAACCTTTGCTGCGTGCCTCTCTTGGCTTTTTCAGGTAACAATCCTGTTTGCGGACATCGTCGGCTTTACGGAGATGTGCCACTCAGTGCAACCCTCCATTGTCATGCAGTTCCTGAATCAACTCTACTCCCGCCTTGGTGAGGAAGAAGTAATTGTGTAAATGAATAAATGCATGTAATGGAGTCCATATTTCTGTAAGCAGCATGTATGTACGGGAGTTAGGGGTGTAGGAGTCCTGGCCTCCGTCCCTCTCAGGGGGGTGCAGGAGGCGACATGGGCTCGGTACCCGTGTAAGTAGGGGGTCAGGGATAATGTCCAAGTAAATGCTTGAGTGTTCTCTCGCTGTGTCTGTCTATCTGTCTATCTGTCTATCTGTCTATCTGTCTATCTGTCTATCTGTCTATCTGTCTATCTGTCTATCTGTCTATCTGTCTATCTGTCTATCTGTCTATCTGTCTATCTGTCTATCTGTCTATCTGTCTATCTGTCTATCTGTTTGTAGTAGTAGTTCCGGCATAGACGTGAACCGACGATAGTCGGTTCCGTCGTCGGAACGGAGACCTTACCCCAACTTCGTGTCTGTCTGTCTGTCTGTCTGTCTGTCTGCCTACATGTCTCTCCGCGCGGTAAGCCATTATTATGCCGGGCTGCTGCCCGTTGCGCCATGCATGCATGTCGAGTATTCGACCATCAGCACTTTTTCTCTGGTTTGAGCATACACGCGCGCATCCTTGCTTCTCCCCTACCGCGTGCAGACTCCTTGCTTGATGTTTACGGCGTCTATAAGGTATGTTAGGATCGTTCAGGTCGTTCAGGTCGTTCAGGTCGTTCAGGTCGTTCAGGTCGCTCAGGTCGTTCAGGTCGTTCAGGTCGTTCAGGTCGCTCATCATGCACGTGCACCCAATCAGGCCGCGTGTAAAGCTTGGCAGACCCGTAACAATACCGGCTTAGATCAGGATGCGGCGAGCTGTTTTTGTGGGGAAATGCTCTCCCGCATACCTTTCTGAATCCGCTCATCTTCCGCTCTTTATTGTATGTAGGCTCTAGCTTACCCGCCCCTATATACAATAAGGAGGAAGCTCATCCTCACCTAATTGCCCGGTTTCCAACATTATCTGCCTGTACAGACGTTGTACCGTGCCAGCTCGCGTACAAGTGCACGCACATGTATACTCCTTACTTTGCTTCCTGGGCTAAGCGATGGTTCCTTCTTCGTGAGCTGCACAGGGGGAATCCGGTCTTCTTAGTGGGCTCCAGCCTGTTGGTATCCGTTCTACATACACGTACACCGAACACACACCGAACACACACACACACACACACACACAAACACACACACACACACACACACACCGAACACACCGAACACACACACACACACCGAACACACCGAACACACACACACACACATGCCATGAACATTCCCCTTGCTCGTAATAACATTCGCCACCTTGCTTGCCTGCCTGCCTGCCTGGCTGCCTGCCTGGCTGCCTGCCTGCCTGGCTGCCTGCCTGCCTGCCTGCCTGCCTGGCTGCCTGCCTGCCTGGCTGCCTGGCTGGCTGGCTGCCTGCCTGCCTGCCTGGCTGCCTGCCTGCCTGCCTGCCTGCCTGCCTGCCTGGCTGGCTGGCTGGCTGGCTGGCTGGCTGGCTGGCTGCCTGCCTGCCTGCCTGCCTGCCTGCCTGCCTGCCTGCCTGGCTGGCTGGCTGGCTGGCTGGCTGGCTGGCTGCCTGCCTGCCTGCCTGCCTGGCTGGCTGGCTGGCTGGCTGGCTGGCTGGCTGGCTGCCTACCTGGTTGCCATGGTGGTACGCTGACGCCGAATCAACGGTGTGCACAAACGGTCTCACGCGTATGGGCGGCGGGGCTGTGAACTGCCGCCAGGTCGAGACCATTGGAGGTGCGGCAACACGCAGACGGGCGGGCGGGGAGGTGGCGACGGATATGCTATGCGAAGCTACGGAGGTAGCTTGACCCAGAAGGGACAGCAGCAGAGGGGAGTTGCCGTATTCGTCGGAGCTGGAAGGATAGGGGTTCATTCATGCTTAGGGCTGCCAGCTAGAGAGGTTATCAGGCGTCTATGCATATCTAGCTGCTGGGTGAATTTGCTGGGGGCACACACTTGAACGCGGCGAGCAAGCAGATCCTGTTTAGGCTGCTTTAAAATATTAGATAAATTAAAGCTAATGGCTTTGTGTGATGATACGCGTAGTTTTGACAGCTCAGGTGTTTACGCCCGCTTTGCCGTATGTATGTATGTATGTGTGCATGCGTACGCCCTATATGGCAGGGCCTGAATGAGGGTGAGGGCGAAATCCCTGACGTGTATAAGCTGCGGTATGAAACCTTTCCTCTGGCCATGGACCCAAATGGATAAATTAGTGATGCATGCTGGTGGTTGCCCTCCCGTGATCGCCCCTCGCTTTTTAGCTGGTCAATCTGCACTTTTATTTGGCTCAGGTCTTGCTTGTAGGTTGTCCAAGTTTCCGGCGGCTTTACTTTTGCTTAGGGCACTAATCTTGGGGGTTCCCGCCCCTCTTGATCGTCCCTACCCTGCCGTACCCAGATTGCTACATGGTCGCGGGGGGCCTTATGACCCGGGACGCAGAGGGCTTCACTGCCGTACGGCGCCCCTCCTCCGCGGACGAGCTGCACGCTGCCAAGGTGCTGGCGTTTGCGAAGGTGGGTTCGTTAGTTTGGCTTTGGGTACGGTAAGTACGGCAGTTCCAATCCTCGTCAGATGCAATACAAATTTTGTCTGCGATGAAGATGAGCGTGGTGCATTTGCAGAATTTAAAAATATTATTACTGCCAGGTGAGCAGCGGTACCAGCATTTCCATGATTGAAATGTATGTACGGCAATTTATTGCTTGCGAGGCGGGAACTATTGATGCAATCTGTTGCCCTAGTAGTACGACATGTACAGGACGATTGCAGCTGAACTATATATCTGTCGTCGCGCATTACAGGCCATGCTGCGGGAGGCATCTACGGTGCCCTTGCCCACGACAGGTGTGTGCTAACTAAGTACGTCATCTTAGTGTACGAGCCTGCAATAATGGTTGCCGATAATGATTGCCTGCTGTCAACTGCACCGCACATTTTTAATCGTCTGCTTGCTGCGCATCCAACGGATGACGTCATTAAGTTTGTTGCTTTGGATGGCATACAATCAGATGTCGCGTCATACGACTGTAGCATTGAACAAAACACGTGCGTACGGCAGGACTTGCACGAGGATGTGGGTGAATGGATGATTGCGGGAAATTAGAGCGAGCAGCATATGCAGTAAATTTAAACGAAGGCCCGTCCCCGAACCCGTTCACACACAGACACTCATTGGTGTCTGGGGCTCGCTGTAATACCTACTATTACACATACATACATACAAACGGACACAGGTCAACCCATACACACACAGACACACACGCACGTATATGGAAACACGCACGCCAACTCGTATGGAAGAGACGTACACGGAAACATTAAGAGCAATGATTCCAGAAGTGCAATTCCATCCTATGCTCTCCACGTACGTACCACCTCGACCCATGTAATGCAACCTGACCGCCTTTTGCATGTTTTAATCCGTATTACTTCTCTGGCCTTCACCATTCACCATCACGCATCACCATCGAGCAGGCCATGCCGTGCGCATGCGCATCGGTCTCCACTCCGGCCCCGTCATGAGCGGAATCGTGGGCGCCAAGATGCCAAGGTTTTGCCTTTTTGGAGACACAGTGGTACGTACCTTGTTTAGCACAGTAAATATAAACAATTGTGCAACGCGATGGTATGCCCCATGCCATGTCCGGAAATGTTCCATTGTAACAGCTTTACTACGCAATGTATAATTTATAGGTATTTTACATGAAATCATATGATACGCTAAAATGCAATCTTGCATGTCGATTAAGATTGCTTGAATACCGTTACGGCGAGTATATTCTGGATGCGCCGGCTTTCCCTTGCTACGACGTCCACATCTACAACCCTAGAATTTCATACTAAATGCCCGTACGATGTAGAACACGGCCAGCCGTATGGAAAGTACTTGCAAGCCGGGCTGCATCCACGTCAGCGCAGCCACGCGAGGTTGTCTCAGTCGTGAATCCGACGAGGACATGGACGGACACTGGCGACCCACGGGCGGTGTCCAGGTGCGACGGGGCGGGGGAGATGCTTTCATGTCTTGCAAATATGTATGTATGCATGTACGTGTGTACATGTTAGCGCGCAGGGAAAGCAGCTTCAGCACCGTTCGGTTGAGGTGAAACAGGCGTGTGTGAAGCAAGCTTAACCCAGCCTATGAACATGCCTGGCTCACGAATGCACACAACCCCGTTCGTCTGCGAAACACCGTCCCCATCTATTATACTAAGGGCACAATCTAAAGAATATGAAAATTTTACAGATGGCTGTTGCAACCACCGCAACCGCTACCAGCAAAACAGAACAACCACCACCAACTACACCACCATGAATACTAATAAAAAAAACTCCCGCCACCGCCGCCCGTACATATACATAGTAGGCTTGTCCCCGTGCGTACACAGGCAACCACCGGTGGTGCCAGGCTTGATGTGAGTGCGTGTGTTATTTCCAAGTTGCGTTACCCTCCCTCCAGCGATGTAATAGCGTGTATTTACGCACCTTGTTTTGCGTGTATAACTCCATATCGCTGTTCCTCATGTATTATAGGTAAAGGGCAAGGGCCAGATGCAGACATTCCTATGGCGACCGCGCTTCCTTTCTGGACCTGTCGTACCAAGCGTCGGCGCCTTGCGGTGGGGCTTAGGCACGGCGGCCGGGGCGCCTAGCACTCTGGTGGCGGCGGCGGGGCTGCCGAACGGCGGCAGCGACGGAGGCGACGGTGGCGGCGGAAGCGCCCATCCACTGTCTACCTGCGGCAATGCTGCAGCCACGCCCTTGAAGCGCATGCAGCAGTACTACTACCTGAAATACAACACGCGCCGCGGCGCAGCTCAAGGAGGCCGCCGCGGCGGTCAAGGTTCCGCCACCGTAGCAAGTACGGGGAGTGCCGTCGAGGGCCGCGGCGGCCGCGGGTTGATCATGTCGTACCTCGCGGCTCTGCCCGGCGGCGGCGGCGACCATCGCAGCGGCCCATTGCCGTGGTGCCAGCACGGGGCTGCAGACGCGGCGGTGTCCTCGTCATTGTGTAAGCTACAGAGCGGCGGTGCTGCGCAGCCCTGGGGGGAAGGAAGGATGGCTGTCGACGAAGACGACGATAAAGCGGGTTACACAAACATGGCTGCAAGAATCCATTGATGCTCTCGCTGGCGCCCTATAACTAAACGCAATATCGCGCATGGCGGGATAGCAGCCAGCTAAGAAAACCAAAAACGGAATGAGTAAGCGGCTACTGCACAACCCTAATCGTCTGTTGGCCGACCGACCGACCGACTCATCGTACCTACCCTCCTAGCTATCTACCGCCCCCGTAATCCTGACTACTTGCATCCATCTCTCGTTCCAATTAAGCATTCACCCCTATCTGCGGACCAGCAGTTGTCGTCCCCCAGCAATCACTACTAAAGCATGTGCGTGTCTGCGGACAGCTGCTGCTTCGGGCACAATTTTAGCGGGTCCCCTTGGATTACTTCGAGGCCAGGAGAACGCAAGTCTGGCCCAACGTTGCTGTATATAGCCACCGCAGAAGAGAACGCTGGTAGATGAAAGAGCCTGAATAACCGATCGGCTTCAAATAGCCAATTCAGCCGGGTGAATGAGCTGAGCGGCCGTTTCTGACACTAAAACACAAGTCAGTTTCACGTGCGATATCCCTTGCTTGGTACAAGGTAGGCGCACTGCTATAGATTAGGAGTCCGGATAGTTCAGTTAGTCCGGCATAATGCCGTACGTAGTCGGTTAGGTAATCCGCTCGGTAGTTGGTGCTGCTGGCGGCGTTACTGCGCGCGCACACGACGGGTCATGTGCATGGAGGGGCTCTGCAGCAGAGGTCGGCAAATCGGTTTCTGTAATGTTATGTCAGTATGTTAGTTGACGAACTTTCGTTTCCTTTCAGTTTCTGCGACTGCGGGAGGGCATAATTTCGGTCAGTAAACCTGAAAATATCCAAAGTCAAACACAGAGTTCAAGTCCAGCGCGCGGCCCAGCGGGCCGCAATAAAGGCTGCAAATCACTTTTGGTCAAATTTTGGTCATTAAGGACCCGCAGCCCTAGGGGGCCTTCAGCCGAATTTCGGCTGCGGGTATTGTGGCACGGACCCGCAGTACCCGCCATATATGCCGACCTCTGCTCTGCAGCGTGCTAGGGGAGTGCTGCCAGAGTCGTGGTCATATTGCATCGCCATCAATGAGTACTTAGAACGCTCGTACCATTTTTTTGTTGGGCGGAGGCCTGCGCGCCTGCTGCGCCATACATTACATGCCTAAGTTAAACCTGTTTTAGAGCTAAGCGGGTGCATGTGTAGACTGCATGGATGCATGGCGACGCCGTTGCATGGCGTTTGCATGCGTTATTTGCCATTTTGCGTGCCTGCTTAGGATTTTCCTGTTCAATTACCTAGGAATGAATCTATGTACGTATATATGTACGTATGTACGTACGTACGTACGTACGCACGTACATAGGGCATATGTGCTTGTCGGTGATGTTCAAGTTGGTGTACGTACGTGTTGCTGTTGATGACGAAGTGTCCATGTTCGCGCGGCCGGATACTCTGCTGGGCGTGGAGAGGATATTTCTCCTTTGCTTTTGATCTTACATATGGCTTTCATCGCTTCCGCTGCCAGGTTGCTTTTGCTGCTGTCGCTTTTGCTGCTGTTGCTGTCGCTGTTGCTCCTGTTGCTGTTGCTGCTCTTGCTGCTGCTGTCGCTGCATGCCGCTTATTGTGCTGCTGCTTTGGGGCTGTTGTTGCTGTAGTTGTTGCTGCCATTATTATCAGTTGCCACTGCTGCTGCTGCCAAACACTTTCAGCAGCATGCTATCGTGAAGGTTGCGTACATGCGATTTGCCGAATTGCTGTTTACCCGCGGACATTGCGTGGCTCGGCATTATTGGGCGGAACGGCGGTCGAGGGAAGCAAGTTACCTGTCGCGCGCGTGCTTTACAATATAGCTGCTCATGTTTGCTACGTTCCAACGCTCTGCTTGGATCTTCGTAACTACTGTTCGGTCGATTCCTTGGGTACTTTCACATTTTGCTGCTCTTCCTTGCCAGGATTAGCTAGCATGACAAGAGAGGTGAGAGTGAGAGTGAGAGTGAGAGTGAGAGTGTTCTGAGAGTGATGATGCGTGGTGATGGTGGTGCTGGATGGCGAGAATTATCCGGATCCGGATCCTAGTGCCATCACGGCATTCGTCTGTATGTCACTGCTACTGCCGGTGACTTCACTGTCGCGTGTTGAGTTACGTTACTCTTTCTATTCGCCTGCGCGTGCGTGATACCTCCCAGATCTAGATCCCCCCCCCGCTATGTACGTACGCTGCTCAGTGCTGCTGAGATGTGCGTTAACCGAAGTACGCGAAACAGGGCAACATAGAAATACTGTGGTATGAAGGAGTTTTTTTAGTCGTTTATCTTGGTTGGACTACTGCTTACTAATTCGGTTGGACTACGGTTCTCACTGATTCTTTGTTGCTCACTACGTGCATGGGTGCCTTATTAGCTTGTCGTTATGTAGCCGTTATCATATGGTGCGCACCGCATATGCATTCCTGCACTATTCATATTGGTTGGCTGGGTGTGTCGGTTATGGGATGGGATGGGATGGGGGTTTGGAGCTTGGATCGGCGGAAGCATTTTGCGGACGCAGGGATGCGACCGTATTCCATATTAATACGCCAGCTAATACGCCCGTATTAATACGCCGAATACGCCAGCCAGTTGGGCTGTTTATGCGTTGGCGTATTGTTGGCGTATTGTCGGCGTATTGTTTGTCGTTGGGTTGTCGTACAGTCTGAAAACTCGCCGATTTTGAGAAATATCGAGCTATTGACATTCCCGAGTCATTGGTGTAATTAGTTCATACTTAGGATTAGGTTTTAGGGTTTGCTTATCACTGGGTTTGCAACATACCTTGTTGTAATAACAACCCGCGAAATGGAAAACGTGCGCGAAGCAAAACGCGCTAAACCGGGACCTAAGCCTAGTGCTGTGTTGGATTATTTCGAAGAAGTCGGTGACTATAGCTCTAGCTCCAAGCGCTATGCTCGCAAGTGCAAGTTCTGCTTGACAACCTTCCCCGCTCACAGAGCCAAAGTGGAATCCCTCATTGCGCACATAGCATCCCAATGCAAGTGCATCCCTCCGGCCGTCTGTGCCGACTTCTGCTCACGGCACGCGGCAGAGGTAGCGGCCAAAACTGCGGAGGCTGCGCGCGACTCCATCCCGGCGGAACAGCTCTCAACAAGCAGCACAGCAGCTGCCAGCAGTCAGGGGGGAACTGCCTCGGCCACGCGAGGAACCTCACGATCGGCGGAAGCATTTTGCGGACCGTCCGCAGCGGACGCACGGCGCACAGCGATCGAAGGGCCATTCGGATAAATGTAATAGTTTTGGGAGCTCTGATCGTCCTTGCTGGTGCTGATTTGGTTTTGGTTCAGTATTTTACTGTGTTCATCGCAGTTCATCGCAGTTGTAACATTTGTACAGTTCAATTCCGTCGTACTAGCTTTGAGTTGCGTCACGATAATGCCAATGCCAACGCAGAGCCATTGTCGTGAATAAGGTTGTTGCCAGCGGTTTTCCTTGAGGAGATGCGGATTAATATTAGTGCACTTCCATAGGGTTCGGATGGGGGCTACACGCGTTCGGTGTGTGTGTCCCTCGGCTAGCGATGATTGCAGCTTACTGCGGAAACAATAAATTCTGGAAAGTAGAATTATAACAACAGCTTCTGAAAGCTGCGGTGGGATGTTCCAATCTTACGGCCGTATACCTTTTTAGGTGTATGTATTATTCAAGTGGTGGTTGGGCGTGTGGCGACAATAACATTACCGGCTTTGGTAGTTTCGCCCCACCTTTACATTATGAGGCATTGACAAGCGCCATGGATGAGGGATGTTGTTGCTTCCCCTGGAGCAGCATGGTCGCTATCTCGGCTAGCTATCTGTGCTTTACGATGTAGCTGCTCATGTTTGCTACGTTCCAACGCTCTGCTTGGATCTTCGTAACTACTGTTCGGTCGATCCCTTGGGTACTTTTACATTTTGCTGCTCTTCCTTGCCAGGATTAGCTAGCATATGCATGACAACAGTTCTGAGAGTGATGATGCGTGGTGATGGTGGTGTTCCGCTGTCTAGTTGCTTGCGCCGTTGGGTACAGGCATGCGCACACGCATGCAGATGACTCGTATTGCTGCAGGGATGCCTTAGTCCGCTTATGTAATAGCTGGTCGCTGAAAAGGCCCCTCGAGATGCTGGTGAAACGCTTCGCGCGTATTTGTAGTTGTTCAGGATGCCGTGTCGTGTACCAGCTACTACAGTTTACTTTAACCGCCTTAAAGACGCATTAATGTATATGAAGTTGAAATGGGCGGAGGATCCGCAGGATCGAACCGCGCATTAATCTAGCACCATTCCGGCCATGTACATGACTGCAAGCTTTTGTTACCAATTGCATCACGTGTCCACCAAGCGTCAACCGGCGATGTGGTTGTACCGCATCTTCGTGAAGAAACCCCAAGATCCCGCGAGATAGAAACGAACAAAATGGGTGCGGAGCAAACAAAATGTGTGGAGCAACCACCTTAAAAAAACACTTGCGATGATACCATCCATTATCAATGCAATGGAATTTGCATCTAAATTTGGATCTGGATCTGGCCATAACCCCCCTTGATGATAAACCTCCTTGCGTGTTATGTTACATGCAGAGGTGCACGGCAGGGATCTGGGTTTAGGGTTTACTTCACCAGTCTTACATTCACCATTTAACAGCCCTCCAATGAGCCTCAAGAAACTTCCCAGCCTTATAAACGTTAAGTTGCGATATCACGAGTTCATTGATGGCCCTGGCTCCGTTTATTGGCTCGCTTCAGGAGTTTAGGACGGATAGCTTCAAAAGCTGTCGTACCTCGACTACAGATAAGTACCGATCGGCTCATGCCAGCAGGTCCCGTGGCGGTCAGACACGCCCTCCAGGATGCAACAACAGCACATCCTGGTAACAAACACCATGCCACTCGCAAATCCCGCAACGATATGCATCCCCCCTCTCCCCCTTTGTCGGTCATCCACACATACATACAGTACTCTTCGAGCGCCAACTTCTCAATGACGCAGCAACCAAGCAACGCTGCTGCGTCCTGCGTCTATCTGTTTACAACGATCCGACGTCGTATCCCCCACCATGCCATGCCATGCCACCCTAAGTACGCGTGCGTGAAGAGGCGCTACATAGCGGCTGCTGGGTAGCAGCAGTGTGTCCAGATTAGGCAACAACGCGTGCACCGGCCCTGGCCGGTCAGCTCCAGCAGGCCATGGTCCCCATGCATAGTCCCCAGCTGCCCAGCAACCTGATTAAGCACCTACAGACCAGAAGCCGGCATTGAAATCCTGGGCGATCAGCCGGAACAGAACTGCCACCATGCGCGCATCGCGAAGTGCTGCCTGTGAAGGGGATTCCGGCCGCGGCTCGTTCTGCAACCGCAGCAGCTCCGCCTCCAGCGCCTCCGCAACCAGCGCCGGTCTTGCCAAGCCACCATTATCTCTGCTGCTGCCGCTGCTGCCGCCTTCCGCTGCAGCTGCGGCCGCCTCCGCCGCAAGTTCCAACGCCTGTGCGGCGGCTTTCAAAATGCTCGTGGCGGACTTGAGCAAATCCCAGACGTCGCCCTCGCGAATCTGTACGGCATTATTTGAGCAGCGAGCATGTCTCATACCATGGCCGAGCTAGATGTAACAAGCAAAGGCTGAGACCCGGCAGGACAACCGACGCCGTGCTTTCATTACGTGTTTACGATATCTATCTATTTCGGCCATACAGCTTTCAGCCCTAGACTGCTGGCCCTTAGTCCCCCTCATCAGGGCTCCAGGTATGTATGTATGTATGAATGTACGGGGGCCCTCTTTGTTACAACACCTTTAAAGGGTGGTAACACAACTCCAGAAGGTGCAACACACATACATACACATACGCACACACACACCCACACGCATACACACATACGCACACACAAACAAACAAAAACAAGAACAACAAAAACATAGACACGCATTCCGCCATCGATCCCGGTTCCATCCACTGGGCATCTGCGCACATCGCCGCACCTCGTTATCGCGGGTGATGGGTTTTACGGAGTGTATTTTGTAAAAGTCGTACATCCAGGCGTTCAACGGCACCTCCAATCCCTGACGGTTGCGTAGCTCCAAAACCGGCACGGCCTTGGACTGTAAAAAATACAACAGGAGGACCGAGAACGGGACGAGCCATCTTTATTTAGACAGCTCAGAGCTCAACAATGTGTCACGAGATGGGTTGGATAATTCAACCTTTGTTAGTCTGCACCTAAATGTGAACTGTAAGTGTGATTATTTGTTCTTTTGCGTTCCGTTCTTGTATCGACAGCGTGGTACCGTACCTCCTTGGATTGCAGCTGCAGCAAAAGGACCATGCGCAAAGTCTGCGATACGAACACGTTGATTTCCCATCATTGGGATTTTTACCCCCCAAAACCCTGCCACGCACACCCGTCTGTACGCGTTTTGCTCGTCCATAGAAAATTAAATTTCAGGCCTTTTCATCATCATATCATGGCACGGTCTATAAACTATTCTATACACTGAATCTATGAACGATCTATTTCTCGGTCCTATCTATTGTGATAGGTGAACCTATCTATAGACATAATATTTTTTTACCGACGCAAACACATAGAAATACACTCTCATCTGAAAGTTCTAAGAGGTCATTGGTGACTAACGGAGCTCGCTTCGGTAAAGCGTAGCTCACGTACCACCAAGGGCACTTCCCTCTTCGCGGCGTAGGACTGTTATGCACACAAGACTGTTACGCTACTGAAAGGTTGGAGGCATACGCCCCGACGCGTCTCTATCCGAAGCTTACGCAAAAGAGTGAAATCGGTTGTGTGCAACGACGTGCGTGTATGGCCCACGAGTGAGACAACACTGTACGGTCGGCGTCCATCCCCTTGGTGCGGTTGTCGTACCTGTAGTTCCACACCCTGCCGTACGCAGTTGAGCATCTCTGCGACGGAACTAAACTCGTCGCCACGGCCACCAAGCGCCATGAAAGGAGAGCAAGCTATCAATCTCCGTTGCATCCTGGCAAGCAGCCACAGCAAGTTGTTGCTGTTGCTGCTGTTGCTGCCGTTGCTGTTGCGGCTGCTGCTGCCGTTGCTGTTGCGGCTGCTGCTGCCGTTGCTGTTGCTGTCGCCGCTATTGCTGTTGCTGCTGCTCTCTGTGGCGACAGTACTGCTGGTTATGCCGCCACCTTCGGCGACGCTGTTGCTCCCGCCAGCAGCCTTGATCCTGATGCCTGAGAACGGCAACCTGTCCTCGCAGACCGTCATCGCAGCTGCCGAGGGCCCCGCCCGGTAGGGCTCCTGCTGCTGCTGCTGCTGCTGCTGCTCCTTCTGCTGCTGCTGCTGCCGCGTAATGAAGTCGATGACGTAGCCAACCGCGGCGGAGAAGCTCTCCATGTTGTACCTGCATGTACGACCACATAGCAACAACAAAAGGTAACATCGACGGGTTGATCAGCATACCTAAATCGCACAGTCTCATCTCCACCCTCACCCCCTTCCTCACCTCCGGTCTCACCACCGGCTCACCACCGCTCTCACCTCCTCCACTCTTACCACCATCCTCACCCGGAAGCAGCTGCGGTGTCCTGGAGGCCAGCTTCTGAAGTGCTGTGTGCGTCATGCACCGTGTGACAAAGACTATTTCGCACCAAATCGGTGCAAAACTGTTATATCACATCTTTTCCGGAAAAGAACCGATCGGTCCAAAGATGCGGTGGATTCGAATTCCGTGATACCCAGGATATATATTACAAAAACATAAAAAAAAACTACAAACGATCCAGTTACAGAGGTCAAACCATGCACGCCGCATAACCTCGCCTGCAACTGACGTATTGGTTGGGTTGTATGGGAGCGGTATATGCCGAGCAGCAGAATCAAAGAGAGGAAGTTTCACCCAGGTTCCCAACAGCGGCTGCTGGTGCCAGTGTTACTGTTGGTGCTTGTGCTGGTGCTTGTGTTGGTGCTGTTGTTGGTGCTTGTGCTTGTGCTGTTGTTGGTGCTTGTGCTGGTGCTGTTGTTGGTGCTTGTGTTGGTGCTTGTGTTGGTGTTGGTGTTGGTGTTGGTGTTGGTGTTGGTGTTGGTGTTGGTGTTGGTGTTGGTGTTGGTGCTGGTGCTGGTGCTGGTGCTGGTGCTGGTGCTGGTGCTGCCTGCACTTGATTATTCACGAGGTGAAACGGGATCGGCCGCTGGCCTCGCCCTTCCCCCAAACAGTGAGCGCCCCAACGCCGCCATTCCCTTGTCCACCGTCCACCGCACTTACCTCCTCACACACGCCTCAGCGTACGGAACCATGGGTTTCAGCCGGACGATGGATGATGTGGTGCCGGAGAAGACCCCGTTGCGTTCCAAGTGCGCCAGAGTTGGAGATAACGGGATGCTGCGTTGTACACACGTACGGCACATACATTCCGGTCATGTACGACAATCAAGCCCGTTGTTAATTGAGGTTATTATAAGAGGGGATGTTTGACGGTTATCATAGCCCAACTACTTACTTCTACTAGATCTGCTGGTCGGCTTTTGACTTCTTGTTGGCTGCTACTTGGGAACTTTAACGTAATTGAGCGGGGGCCTCACCCGACGGTGGGTAACGGTACGGGCCATAGCGCATGGAGATATGGTACAAATTTGCTTCTAGTGTTGTCGGCCGTTCATACCCTCACAAAACTACATGCTATGCGAACAGAAAATCCCGGGCAATCACGGGCCCATCTCCATCCACCTGGTACATGTATTACCTCCTTTCTTAGTAACACGTTCTGGGTTAAGCACGTTAGCGCCTTTCGAACTTGCCTTCTTGGTCTTATCCTGGCCTGCCGATTCCTTACCTAACCCACCCGCCACCCGCCGCCCACCACCCCACCACCCACCGGATGAACAAGTGAGCGAGGAGCGTCATCGTCGCGTCCTTGAGCTCCCGACCCCGTAGCTGTTTGCACAGCCGCGCAAACACGCCGCCATGAATCAGCCGACAGAGCACCAGGTTTGCTGGCTCAGTCCAAAACAGATGCGTCGCCAGGCCCGCAAGGCCCCGAAGCCGCCCGGTGGCGGGATCCAGCATCCGGTTTCGGAGCAGGTAAACAAGCGATAGCCCCAGCGTGTGGCGCATGAGCTGACGACTCGTGCTGGTGAACGGCGGCGCCGGCGCCGGTAGTACGGCCCCGGCCGCAGCGTCGGGCCCGGCGGCGGCAAGGTGCTGACGTTGGCACCACGCGGCGGCGTCAGTGGCGTCAGCGGCAATGTACGACGGTGCATCAACCACAGCCATGAAGGGCTCCGACACCATTTTCAGTGCCATATCGACGGCGGGGCCGCCGTTGCGACTGCTGGCGGTGGCTGTTGCGGCAGTGGCAGCCTGGCCGCAGGCGCCGCCGGCAGCGTTGAGGCGCAGCTGCTCTTCCAGCAGCAGCAAGCGCAGCGTGGTGGTCGGCGTGACCAGCATCTGGCCGTGCACGCGCGGCATAGCCGAGGTCCTTAGCCTGTGCACTCTGCAAGGTGTGCGGACATGTTGGGGTTTCGGAGTAGGTGAGGGAAGGTAAGCTAGGGTTTAGCAGCAAGGATATAAGCAAGGATGCAAGAGATAGGAAGGAAGCGCAAGGGATTGGAAAGGAGAGGACGGTGGTGAAAGGCTGACTTCCGACGAGCGGGGAGAGGACAACTCGTTTCTGGCGCTCGTGAGGAAGACGACCAAGAGGTAAGGAATTCCGTTCCGTTTCGGTATGATGACGCTGACGGGTAAGTTGAGAAACGCATCGGTACGGGCTGCGGAGGCAGGCACAGAGGCAGTGCACATATCCAGCGGCTGTGGCAGCAGCCGTGGAGAATTAACGGAGGCGCAGACGGGGGCCCATCGCGGGCAGTCGGGGGCAGGCAGGGGGCCAGCATGGGGCCAGAGGCGCGACGGCTTAATTGTTAACAGTCATCGCCCGGAACAACAAAAAATCCTTGTAAAACAGAACAAGCATATACCATGACGGCAAGCAAGCGAAATCGCCAACCTCCCACTGCCGCAGCAATTCGCCCATACCGCGTCATGCTATGCCGTTTTACCCTTAACTACTAGCGCCGTTCGGTATATCATACCTGTGCAGCGACAGCCCGTAGAACAGCGCATGACCCAAGGTGTCCAGTCCGCGACGGCCGCTGCGACCAATCATCTGTCGATAGTTGAGCGCATCCAGATGAGGACTATCGCCTAACATGACTACCGTACGGCACGGCATGTGAACGCCCATGGCCAGCGTGCCGGTGGCAATCACCACCTGCCGCACATGAAACGCACACATCATGCGGAGGCGCGCACGTCATACGCATCTTCAGTTCTTGATCGATTCTTCGCTTCCCCCGGTTCTTCGCTTTCCTCATGATGGATCAGTATCGGATCAAAATAGAAAAAGAAAAAAGGAAAGGCACACGCAGACAGGCGGCGAAGGAAGGCTGCCGCCGGTTGCGGCTGTATCGCACCTGAAGCCGCTGCCAATACGATGCTTTCTGCCGGGCCGTGGGCTAAGCTCTGAGCTCTGAGCTCTTGAGTGTGGACTGCATCCGAATCAACCCCTCTCCAAAAGCGTATGTGTACATACAGGTGCTGGATGCTCAAACACGTCATGCCGCCTGCCGTCTTCTTGTCCCGTACTTGTGCCGGCCCTACCTGGCTCGCAAGCAGGGCGAGCAAAAGCGACCCAAGCCCACCTGCAGAATCTTGGCCCTGAACAGCGTTTCAACTGTGGTGCGGTATTGCTTGTTTAGGCCACCATGGTGAATTCCCACGCCAAACTCCAGGCCGCGCACCAGATCCGGGTTCACTTGATCGTTGTCCCTGCATGTAAATAAATGTACATCACGTTATGACAAAGAACTACGCAGTACGAATTGTGTACGGTACATGTCCTTACCCCTGATGTTCAAACTTGGGCATTTAAAAGGTTGCACAAGTCTTATAGTTATGTTAAAACAGAACACAAGCATAATGAAATCGATCTGAGGTAAGTAAACTCTTTTCTATAAGCAAACTATTTCAATTCGGGATCACCTACGTAGCTCGTCTCCGTGCGCCTCATCATTCCCAACATGATGCTTTGGCTGGGTCCATGCTCCTCCGGGTAAAACCCGAACACGCACAAACGCATACCGTACGTTAACACGTGAACTTCCCCTCCTTAATGCATGCATACATAGAGATGTACGCAAAGATAGACGTACTTCAGATCACTAATTGCGTCCAGCAGGCGTTCATCATCCATGTATGAAAAAGGGATGAGGCTGAAGGATGGATCGGGTCGACTGGGGTCCAGGCTGAAGGTCAGTCCATCGACCAGCACTGTACGCTGCGGCGGGAAGGCTGGGTTCTCATCGCCTGCATGGATGTCCAGAAGCATACATATCATATGCGGGCTTCAGGGACGTGCGTGTTTGCGCTTCAGCAATTTACATGCACCTACAAGCTAATGGCACTCGAACACGTGCATCTTTCAGAGAGGGACATCTGTAGCTATGCGACGTACATAACGACCGGATTTAACGAATGCAGAACCGTGCGCTCTTAAATGTTTTTTTTTTGTGTGTGTGCTTTACAACTTCTGGAGTTGCGTTACCCTCGGAAGGTGTAATAGGGGTCCCATACCAGCAGGGGGGCTTCCGGGCCAGCCGAACGCTGCCTGAAATAGACACATAGAGATACAACATGCGCTCACGTGCATGGGTTGTGTGTGCGGTCCGTTGCGATGATATGTATTTAATCGAGGCAATTGGGCAATCTGTTTACTAGGGGACCGATTCTTGTGCGCATCTTGGGCGCGTATCCATGCAGTTTATAAGGAAAAGCCTGCTACAGCGAATCCGAAGCAAATCTGCCGAAAATGTGTGTGTTGAGACGGGGACATCGCTTTTGCCTGGACGTACGGCGTATAGTGACCACCATCTTCCTAATGTGGTTTGCCCTGTGGTTGGACGAAACAAGTCAACTCGCGGGAATAATTTCCTATGGGTGCCGGTGATAATCTTAGCACCCTTAGGGAGGAGGGAGGAAGCTAGGAGTAGTGCTGCTGTGAACCACCGGCAGGCTTTTTAATTGAGCTAGGCTTCAGGGTGCCCATGCCGCACCTCGCACTCTGGTACCAAAGCCCGTCATTACTGCTGCTTAGTACTGCCTCTTTCCTTATGCGAAGGAAGGGAAGCTGCCTCGCCTCACCTTCTTCGCGCGCCTTCTCTCGACCAGATCGTTCTTGGGAGGGCGCAGCGGCAGTAGCTTGATTAGCTGCAGCCGCAGCCGCCCGCTGCACCGCCTCCGCGTACCGCTCGCGATAACGCTCTTGTACGGCTGACAAGTACCGTACTATTGTATTGCCGAGCGCGGTTATGCCATGCCGCGAGAAGTTGAAGAAGATGGCGGGCAGCTTTTGCTGTCGGTGCAGCGTCAGGACCAGCGATGGGAGGTTATAGTGCTGCAGTGTGGCAGTAGCAGTAGCAGTGGCAGTAGCAGTAGCAGTGGCAGTAGCAGTGGCAGTGGCAGAGGCAGTGGCAGTGCAGTTAGTAAGGGCAGGGAACTCACGATGGAGTTAGTAGGGAGGCAGGGCCAGGCGAGTATTCTTTATAGGCGGCGGAAATGGCATCACAAGGGTTGTTCATTGGCACTGTTGTCAATAATGCTTGCTATTGCGCGTTCACCCTTCGACACCGGTGTTTTGACGTCGCCCTTCGACACTGCCCTTCGACACTGCCTTTCGACGCTGCCCCTCTGCACCCTCCGTCGACACCGGCCCTTCAACATGCACCGACCATCGATTTCCCCTTCGAACCCCTAAAGTTAAACCCTCTAGCCCTCAGACAGCCAGCTCGTGCGCAGGACATCACGTAAGCAGAGAACATCGCATACGCCAAATCCTAAGACGTACTGCACCATTTGTACACGTTATCATATCATTGCGGGTTTTACCAAAAGGAAAAAAGGAAACTTGACGCACCAGGAATTTCAAACCGGTAACCTTTTCCCCATCATGTGCCGCTTCCCAAGCCCGCTGCATCTCGTCGTGCTGATGATATACATCCGTCGCCAGCTCATCTTGGATGGCTCGAAGGCATCCCTTCCAGGGGCCATACAGCCGTACGATACCAACCCCCGACGGCAGCGTCGGGCATTGCTTCGGGTCCTGCTGTGAGACAGGATTGCCGGCGGCAAGGGCACCGGCGCCGACACCGCTGCTACTGGTTTTGCCGGTCTTGGTTTTATCCTGCCCATTGGGTTCCAGACATGCTGATTCCAGCGGCCTAGCTGATGCTGCAGCAGTGGCAGTAGCAGCGGCAGCGGCAGCAGTAGCAGGTGCGGGAGAGGCTTCCGCAGGATCTTCTGCGGAACATGCCCATAGAAGCAGCTCGCGCTGCAAGAGCTTTTCCCAAGCCTTGACCTTGTCGCGAACCACCAGGCTGCTTTCCACCCAGCCGGCGATGTCCTTCCCCGGCGGATGCGGCAGGGCGCCCTTGTCACCAGCGGCGGCAGCACAGCCGCCGCTGCTGGCTGCAATCCCTGCTGTACTTCCTTCGGCCTCCTTCTTTTCGTCGTCGGACGAATCCATGTTCCATGCGGGCATGGCGGTTGGATCCAGCGGTGCAAATAGACGTTCCGGATCCAAAGCGGCAAGCCGCTGCCGTACCACTGCCGCTACGGCTGCCAGCGCGTTGGGGCCTTCGACGCGGCCGCTATGGTTGTCACCGACCACGTTGCCAGGGCGCCTCGCTGCGGCATTCTTTCCCTTTGGATTTTTTGCCTCCGCTACTGCTACCTCGGCCATGGCTGTGACAGCAGCGGCCTGCCAAACCATTCCGTCGTACAGCTGTAGCATCTCCCCCGGCGTCATACTGAACTCCGGCGGCAATTTTCCCGTATGCCCTGTTCGGTCCAAATCTGCGCTGACGAGGGGGTGGAGCGGCAGGATGGTGCCCAATCCACGGCAGTTGCCACCGGCGGTACCCTCCGGCCCTTCAACTCGCTGTACGGCAGGCAGAAGCTCCCTCGTCGTATTGGGCCCAAGGTAGTACTGCAGCAGCGCCTTCTCGTCGGCATCATCTTTGCTGTCGTATTTGCCTTTGCTGGTCAATTTGTCACGACGGTGCGCCGCCTTCTTTGTCCGGCAAATTGGTTTCGAGAATAGCTCCAGTGGCGGCAGGAACAAGGAGCTCGTAAGGTCGTTGTACCTGCGAACAAAGAGACCATATGCATGGTGAGGTCAACCAAAGGTGAACCAAAGGTGAACCAAAGGACAGCACCAGGTCACGAATGACTCTTTTGTCTCAGGTCCTGCTAAGTCACCCAAATACTTTCATCATTAGAGCTTTCGTCAACGCCTCCGGAAAACTCTGGGGACCAACAGGCACGGAACCGATGGATTGCTCCATCAACCTCTAAACCATCCTTTTGTCATCTCTTCAATATGCATACATACACACAGACACACACACTGGTACTTGGGCTTAACAGGGCTTAATACCTGTACAGGGCCCAACTACAGGGGGCCCACTTTATACATAATACACTGTTGCTACCAAACCGTCGGAACCCCTCCAATCATTCATGTTGCACGTTGCATCCCGAGCACACCTCTCCTTGTGTACGACCAAGTGCACGTCGTACGATGCTGCAAGCCGCCGTTGCTGCTGCTGCTGCTGTAAAGCCGCCAGCCCCCGGCTGCTCGAAGCTGCCTTTGCGACGCTAGGTCCTGGCTGTGCCGCTTCGTCATGTCGGCGCTGAACCTGCTTTACTCGCCGCAGCCACTCTGTAAACAGCTCGGGGTTGCCGATGGTGGCGGAGAGCGCCAAGAAGGGACACCTGCGCATCGTGATGACAGAACGTACGGACGGTACGGAGCGGTACAGCCCGTACAGAGTGCTAAACACCGTCACGAGAAAATAAAAGAGTAGATTGCGACTCAGGCACGCCCCAGGCCGCAGAACTAAGAATCATTGTGCTCGACAAGTTGCTCCCCATGCATGTGCAGGCAATGATAGTTTTTACCTCCGCAATTACGAGTTGGTGCCAGTGGTGTGGTGAATTTCTGCAACAGCCGACCTCACCCAACCTAGTTTCATTAGCAGCAGCGCGGTCTTAAGGTTGGGTATCATCTTCCTAACTTTGCACCCTCTCCTCCTCTTTTGTATTGTGCCATAATAGGAAAGGTCTCTAATCCCTAGCAGATAGACGCAGACTCATGCAGATAGCGCTGGCAGATAGACGCCTTATGAGGCGGGCGTCTTCCAAGATATTGCATTTTGAATTGCGTTACTTATCAACGAGTCGCTAACGATCCCATACGAGCGCCTACGAGCCCCAAGGACACCTGACAGACAAGGGCGGCTCTGGGCGGCTGACCGAAGGAACAGTTATTAGAAAACTGTGGAAGCGCATAAAAGGAAACCACTATTCTATGTATATTGAAAAAGTACTATTCCTGTATTAAAAGAAATCTGGATATGTGTATTGAAGATGTGTACTAGCTAAAGTCCATGGTTCGATTCCTTTGAGTACTGGCTAAGATTTAATGGCTAGCTGCTGAGATGTGAAGTTGAGGTCACAGTTGATAGACCAGATTCGCACGCTATATTAGTGGCGATTGCCGAACCCTCCGACTCTTCGGATGTTCGGGTGAATGGATGAGGAGGGATCCTTGAAGGAGGTATCCACCGCCTTGGACTTACAGTTCGTATGGCGTAGTACAGTGTGGTAATGGTGGATGGTGCTATCAGGTGATAAATCGTAGAATTGACAATGTGATAAAGCGGCCCAGAAGCCTCCCACTCTGTAACATTACATTACGTTACCAGTTTAGCTCCGGCCGCGGGAATGCAGTAAGGGTCCATTTTTCGCATCCTTCGGTACCGCGTGGTGATTGACCGAACGCACTTTAAAGTGTAACTTGACCAAACTGTTCGCATCCCCGTGACAGCCGCGATCGCCCGCGAGCCGTCCGCATCCCCGTGACCGCATCCCCGTGACCTACTTCGCATCTAACCCTATCGCATCCCTCCTTTCCCACGGAGCGAGCACCCACCTTGTCGCCAGCAGCGACCGCTCCCAGAACTCGCCCCCACTTGGTTCACCTAAGCACTGGACCTGCAGGTGACAATTCATTCCAAAGGCGGTACGACCGTACATGCAAGGAAAGAAACAGTCCGCTCCCCTAGAAAACAGTCCGCCAAGTCGCTGCAATGCATTTCTTTGAGTTTGGCTTCAGCGAGAACGACTAGCCTCGAGATATCCAGAAAACGTTATGTGAAATAATGATAACGATGAGGATGTCGAGGATTGATAGTTCCTACGCTTCCGTCGTAGAGATGGCTTGGGTAGGAACGTAACGCCCGTTTTTGTTTCTCTACACTACACCTCTGGTAACCCATCTGTCAAATCCGGCAACATTGCAAAACACACTCCACACCCACCATCGCCTAACAATGGGGACCGCACTGGCCGAGAAAGCCTAGCACTCGGAGGGGCGGTCGGGACAGACGAGCCCCGACGGAGGAACTGAAAGATCATCTTCATATTTTTAGCATTGGTGACAGGTAATTTAATACGTTTTATAATATGTTTGAAAGGCTATAAAAACTTCCTAAATTAAAAATAATTTTCTACTTCTGGATATCGTTTTTAAACTACGGGATTTTTCAGAAAGTGATTATATTTATTAAACTCGATTACTTCTTGTTGAACAAGAATTCCATGATTTTCAGAAGGTTTGGCAACGGCAATAGCGGAAGCAGACGGAAGCAGCTTAAGTCGCCACTGAAAAGCCGCCACAGAAAGTCGTACTGTACGACTACCATAATAAACTGACGACGATTCTTTCGTCACAAGAATTTGCCTGCTGCTCATGTTTGGTTGTGCTGGAGAGAGAAGTCAGCAATTCTCGGGCCAGCATGTGGCCTCCTACGGCATACACTCAGATTAAGGTTTAACTTCACTCTGTCACCACAGACGCTGTTCGATACGGCGAACTTAAACCTACCAGCAACCCTAGAAGCAACGCGCATCACTATCGCAACATCGTGCGGCGTAGCGCTTCGGCTCAAAAATTACATTGAAACGCAAAAGCAAGTGAGTACACACACGCACACACATACACACACACGCATACATCGAACAACGGCGCGTGCATGCGTATGCGCATATGGTGCAAGATACTGGCTTTATGGCTTCAGAATACGTCCACGCGCTTGCGCATAAGCTTACATGTCTGCACGCTTACGGCCTCACCTCATCGAAGACAAGGAACTTGAGTGAAGCGGCCCAGTCGCGGTTGGCGGGCGACATGAGCAGTATTTCCAGGCACTGAGGCACCGTCACCAGCACTACACAGTTGAAGGAGTTTTGCCTGGAGGCCAACGAGTCAGGGAGTTAAAGGGTTAGCAATTGGTGGTTGGACGGATTCGTGCCAGATAGCTGGGCAGGTTATTAATGTTAGGTAAAAAAAGCGCTAGCAGATTTTCGATGGGCGTACGGATACGTGGCTGTTTGCTCGCGCGCGAGTGATTAGGAGCAGGTGGGTGTGCAATTATGAAGGCATATTGGTTTATGCAGCAGCTGAGATAGCGATCCTGAATGCGAAAGCATTTAACCAAAACGACGGTTCAGTGGGCGATTGGGGAGAGTTAGTTTGTGTCACGGTTTACGACCGATTACGATGGTTTAGCCAAACGATTTACGACAGAGATTACCCGATGGGACATTCATCCGACAGTGCTTGCACATTATTACAGTTATTAGTAGTATGAGGCAAGTTTTACGGTATTTTGTTGATATACGGAGTAGTGAATGCTTTATAAAAATAAATGATATCAGTCATAGTATTTACCTATAGATGGCCATGAAATCTCTGCGTCCACAAAAGAATAAAAGAAGAGCAAAACGAGAATAACTGCAACTGCAAACAGCCCGTAAGTGGTCCGCGAGCCTTTGGTCCGAAGGCATAAAAGAGTTGCCTAGCTAAACAACATGCCGCACATGATCGAGCTTAGGTGGAGGTCGGGCGGGACAGACCTGAAGTCTCGCGTGAAGGTTCCTTGGACCGCCATACCATCAGGCAAGTTGCGCACATCGTGGAAGTCCTTGGCAATCTGCAGGGTTGTACGACAGTCAGATCCATGTCGTATATGGAAGCCGAGGCGTGACGTGGAGCAGTTGGTATCGCATTTTCACCTCGAACAGCATCAGCCCAAACACGGCACCATGCCACCGGACCTACCTTCTGCGCTGGATGCTTCCATGGGGAGCAGTCGCAATCATGGTATGGGATCACGCACCCCCAACCATGTAAAACACACACACACACGCACACACACACACAATGCTGGTGGCTAGGGTATGGTAGAGCTAATAAGATGTCAAAAGTCGAAACAAAACCTGTGGGATATCTGTCCGTATTCATCGTACTACTATTCGTCAAGTTTAGTCGTACCTGCGCCTGGATTTGCAGCACCAGGACTTTCGTAGGAACAACGATGACCACCCGGCCACGACCGCCATGCTCGTCCAGCACTTTGCGAACGGCATATGAGCTGATGAAGGTCTTGCCGCTGGAGGTGGGGGCACACACCACCGCAGAACTGCCTGCAACCATCCATCCCACCGGCAAACCAACCAATTCGCTAACCAACTGACCAGTGTTTTTTTTCGTTTTGGGCCCAATACCCTAGAGTAATAAACTGGGTGTTTCTTGCGGTTACAATTCCTTTTTGTATAGTCGATGGGGGGGGCTGCGCCCCCCCCAGACCCCCCCTCAAAGGCTGTACGGTGTGCTGTAAACAACACCTGACGTCTGGAAACAAACATGCCGTACCACCATCGTTCTGTGCACCTAACTGCATTTGCGCCAGTGTCTCTGTGAGCAGTGTCTGCGGAGTTTCTGAGCCGTTTGCTTTGGTCAAGAATGAACAAATGCCCCGTTGACCTAAGTTGAATGCAACAGCGGGCCGTCTCATGGTGATATCATCAAATATTTCATATATACCGTATCGCTATGGCCGATTGGTGATTTCTGGATTGGTGAAAGTAAAAAACGCTTCTAGAATTAATCTTTCCAACACCGGAATTGGTGATACGGTTTGGTGTTACCCCGTCCACTTTTTCCCATTGCCACCGAATTGGTGAAAGCCGCCAACCGGACTGCCCCCCGTTCACTGCGAGTTAGGCGGTCCGGCACCCGACCTGGATCCAAAACGTACAGGGATTGGTGATGGCCGCCGCTCAATCCCAGCCCGGATTATCCTTTGCTACTGGATTGGTGATTTTCACCAATCCGGTGTCACCAATCGGCCATAGCGATACGGTATAGTGTATAAGCTCCAACTGTTCAGCTTTATATGTGCAGAAGGCATTTGGGGCGACTTATGGCCGAAGTAATGAACCAGTACGGCCAACTGACCAATTATTCCATTTCTTCCAGGCTCAGACCCCCCTTTATTCCCAAAAAAGTAATATATTACCAAAAAAAAACACTGCAACTGACCAACTGCAAGCGAGTGCCAAGCGAGTGCTCGGTGGTATTGAAAGGCCCTCGCTCGTTCCAGCGCAGATAACGGGACCACACCACGGTATTTCGCAAAAGATAGAAAAGGCACCAGATCGCGCGGACAGGGCCGTGTCGTGACATACATACATAGCGCGACCATGCAGCGCGCAGAGTACGAACTACACAAACAGGATTGCTGTACACCGAGCGAGTGTAGTGTTACAATACCTAATAAAAGAAAGGCCACACACCACCAGTAGGCACGAATCCCAGTTCGAACGCATGTTCCGCCAGCCGGACCTCTCTTCAGCCCTACCGGAGTCCACGATGTCCAGCAGGCGGCGCTGCCAGGCGTCGGGGATGAAACCGACCCGGGGGTCTGGCCTCCCGATGGACGAACGCTCCAGCCGGTCACCCATGTAGCGGAGTTGGAAGCGCACAAGGCTGATGCCTAGTGGCAAGGGCTGCGAGTGTATGTACAGGTAGACAGACAGACGGACAGACGGAAGTGTGAAGGTACAGAGCATGGTTTGGCAGGGCCTTGAAGGGGCCAGCAGCAGTGAATCGACCTAGAGCGTGTGCAAGGTCATACAACACTCACATATACGCTCACATATACACTCACATATACACTCACATATACACTCACATATACACTCACATATACACTCACATATACACTCACATATACACTCACATATACACACATATACACACATATAGACACATATACACACATATAGACACATATAGACACATATATAAGTATGATCATTTCTGAATATGTACCTTGGGTACCATGATCGACTATGTGGATCTCGACGTATGCACAAAGGACGTAGTGGTCATCAGATAGATAGCGGTATTGCCCTAAGGATCTTAATCCCAGGAGAGTGCTTGTAAATCCTCTTAAATTTCTTGTTTAAATAATGAGAACTTAACTGTTTTTTACGGTTTCTTAGGCTTCAAAATCCTTGGGTAATATAAGTTTTTTTAAGTTTTCCTTGGAAGTTTAAACAAGGTTAGCTCTTGGAACAGAAATCTGAAGCTAGACGCGTCCATGCAGACCCGCGTAGTACAGCAGGCAGTGGCGATGCAACCTTACGACAAGTGTACGGTGTACCGCACCTCAGCCGTAAGTTCTCCGGCAAGGCATTACACCGATGACAAGTGTCACAGTTGAACCCTTCTAGGTGACAACAACCCTTCTTCTCCCTGATCCAAACCGAGCTTCACTTATTAGACACTACCTAGTTTGCCCTCTTACCTTCAAGGACAAGCAGGTCTCAATCCTGCTAAATCCTACCAGCAAGGCGTCGTCCACATCCACGGCCCCACCCCCGGGCCCCGAAACCACAGCATCCGTCACCGCCGCCATCTTGCTGCCACCGGTTGTCGCCTTGCCTTTGTTCTTTCCCCCACTCGTGCTCGGCTGGCTACTACCCCCTTTTCCACCGCCGGTCTCTGCAAGCGCCGCACGCCGCGCTTCCATCACTTTCGCCTGCGCCCGCAACGTTGCTGCATCAGCAAAGCCCGCCTCCAGACGCAGGCGTTCCGCGGTGTCTCCGAAACCAAGTGCCGCCAGGACGTTGCAGGCGATGATCAGGCACGGGGCCGCAACCCGCGGTTCATTCAGCAGGGGGCATGGCTGCAGCCACAGCACCTGGCGCCCGCCTGCCCGGCAGGCTGCCTTGAAGGCGGCGAGAGACTGCCGACAGGGATTTGGGTGGAGGGTCGTTTGTCCTGAGCCACAGAAGCAATCGGTCATGCGTTTGTTTAATGGGGGACCGCGGCGAGGGTCATTGAGTAGTGGTCACCCCACCGCCACCACCACGGTGGTCTAATCAAATGATTCTTCCGTTAAGCGAATACCTATTTTGATTATAAGGCAAGCTCACACAGGACATTGACGCGGGGACAAGCATACATACGTACAAACAAACATAGAAGCATGAGGAAAATCCATCCAGCCCAGGAATAACACAGGAACCTTATCAGTCACAGCGCCTTATTATTAGACGCGGCGACCTGAACTTGCTATCTGCAAGCTGGCCATAAAGTGTGTGTGAGACAAGCCGCTACAACCTCTGTGCCTGAATGTCATGTCAATGTCAATGTCAAGCACCTGTCACCACGAGGTTGCCTACATTGTACAACAAAGCACGTCCCAATGCGTGATGAGTAAGAACCGCCCACCGCTTGTAAGTACGGGGGGCGCGCCGGCAAATGCGCTTTGCCCAGGTAGACGTACGGCTTTTAAGTCAAGCATTGTAACAATACTGTGGCACCACGCCGTGCGTCTGCGCGTTTCGCCATCTGCGATGGCGCTGCACGCGGTTCGCTTTCCACACATATAGAAAAAACGAACCTGCAGTAAGGCAGCCAGCGCCTGCTGCATCGCCGGAGATAGCTCGTCACCATGACGCGCAGCCACAGATTCACTTCCCGTGTCACCTTCCGGCGCCGCCACCGTATTCGGGCCCACAAACTTTACTGGCCCTAAACCAGCCGACCCGGGAGTCAGGTGGGCCAGAATAGGCCGTGTGCTTTCCCGGCCGGCGGCGCTGCCACTGCCGCTGCCTTGCACCGGCGCCTGATTGAGCTTGTTTAGGCCATACATGGTGGCCAAATGAACTTGTAGCTGCAGCACCGCCGCGATGCATCGCATTTCCGGTGGAGTAGAAGCTAGCGAGCAGAAGCGCTGCACTGCCTCGAGCAAATCGGGTAGGCTTTTAACTGTACAAACGGCATACGGCAATGAACTGTTAAGTCGTCCGTGCGTCTGCATGTCTACGTGTGTCTATGCAAACTCGTTGTCTGCGTGAGCAAGCCTAGACGAGAAGCCAGATAGTCATGTCGTACGTGGTTCATGCCGTACATGCCCGCAAGCAGATCACCAGCACGTAAGGGATGATGAGATGTTGCTCATCACATCATTCATGCGCGTTCTGTACCATATTCAGTGAGCCGCAGACAGCCCACAAGTCCATGGCGGAATGGTGAGGCACGAACCATTGTCCCCGGGTAATCCCGAGATCGATACCTGCCAGGTTCAATAATCCTTCCAATCGAATTCGAAGTACCCTAAAGGTATGGACTGTGGACTCGCGCACACACGCACATACACACAGACACATATTAAAACCCTACTGACCTTTCCGCCGAGATATGTGAGGGCCGACTACGTTGTTCCAGCGCTCCACCTCTCCCTGAAGGACGCCGCTGAGCCGTTCCGCAGCTCGCCGCCTCGCTCCTTGGTGTCCCGCCTCCGCCTGAAGTCCGTGCGGCAAGTGTGGCAGGCCAGTAGCTTACCGGCGGGCTTCATTACGCTCGTACGTGTCGTACGTGTTTCCTAAGAAACTCCTGACCTCTGGTGCGCGCTTCAGTTACGGGTCTATACATGATTTTCCGACTCGTGCAGGACATAGCCTAACTTGGCAAGTGTGTCCAGCAGTCAGGAATGCGACCAAGTCATGTGATTGAAAAGATGATAAACCTCCGAGGCCGTCCTATCCACCACGCACATTCCCTTTGGTTCTTAACGCCACCAGTAGTCATCAGCTAGTTTTCAGTGCAGCGCCATGCCGTGCCCATTTCGGACAGCGCCGGTTCGGGGCCACTGCGGGCCCTTTCCCCATTCAGCCCGCGTACAGGGCGGGCCTTATCGACTGCCCCTCGATTCCCTACCGCCTGCCGTAATTCACGCAAGGCTGCGGCTGCCCCCGCGGGCCCCACGGCAATCTATTTTCTCAAATTTTCTTAAATCTACCGAATCGTCGACTCCTTCACCCCCTGGGAGCTCTGACCTTCTCCAGTTGCCGTTTGAGGTCCGCAGCCGACATCTTGGCAGCCTGGAGCAAGGCTGCTAGGACCGTCTTGGCCTGTCGGTCCTGTCGGAGCGCCTCAAAATGTGCTATGCTGACGACTTCCTGTAGGTTGGACACCGCCATTGGAAACTGCTGCTGATGCTGCTGCTCCTCCAGTTGTGTGCTGCCGAGAATGCTGCTGGTGTTGCTGCCGCTGCCGGTGTTAAAGAACGTGACGCCACCTTGCAGCGAGTCGATGAGGCGCTTCAGTGAAGCGACTTCTTTCTGCGTGTGGCAGAGGCGGAAGTTTAGCGAGAGGCTACGGGAAACAAATATGTGTGAAATAGGTCAAAAGCCATGTACCGTAAAGCGAGTAGAGATGGAAGAAAAGTAGGTAGTAGTTTCAGGACAGACAAAACCTGTAAGTGGTACAAAAACACCTCCATCCGGACGCTCATCTCGCCTACATTTTTCTCTCTCTGAAAGTAATGTAGCACGCCCTCCTGTACCAGCGCCCGCAGCTCCATATGCACTTTACCAGCAGGCAATTCATTATCGCCCTCCCTGGACTGATGCAAGAGTGATGCCGCCTTGGCACGCCACTTCCTCGCGATGAATCTGCACATTCGTATGCAATATTGGCGACGAATGGAGGGCCGCATGCACGCAGACAAGCGTGGGTGGACAGGAACGACGTTAGTTGTATGCAACTATCCAAAGCAGCGGAACCGCTCAACATGGCCTAATTAGGAACATCACTATGCGGTTTATTGCGGTGGGCTGTGAAGAGTATATTGCAGCGTGCGATGGAGTTGGGGTAAGCTGTAGCTGTGTTTGAGGTCTATGGTGCGGTGCGTTGTGTATTTGTTGGGCACCCCCGCCCTCTACCCGGCATCTCCTCCCTATCCCTGGTCCACGGCGCCACACAGGCGTTTTCCCTAACAATTTTGGCTCTTCACGAGCCTGAATCCCACTGTAACAACCACACACACACAACCACACACACAACCACACACATACATACATTTTGGCGGCATACAGTGGTTGCAATCAGTGGGACAGCTGGCGGCATGTGTATTTAAAAGAAGTACACCTGAAGGAGGATTTCAATTATACCTATTTTGTGAGTGTGCCGGCGGGAATGGAGGCTACGACACGTGCTGTGCAGTACACATGATGCCGTACATAAAAGGCGTGCCCCGCGCATGGCGTAGTCGATGTCATTGTCTGGGAAGGTGAACCGGCGGGACAATACCTGACCTCTCGTTACATTTCGCTAATCGGCCCTCACCCCGCCTTGTACAGCCTGTGTTATCGCCTTGTGTGCATTGCGTGTGCATTGCTAAAGTATACTATAGTAAACTAACTCAGTGGCGAAAAGATTGCTATGTGTGCGTTTGCGCATCGGCGGCTTACCTGCGGAATTTCTCCAGCAGGCCTGCTGGCGGCGTCTCGGCAATCTCCCGGAGAACCCGCCGCTGCGTCGCATCCCTGCTCTCGGCCTGTACGACAAGTACCATACCCGGCCATCTGGAGAAGGTCAGCAGTCATGTGGGCGGCATATGCAACGCCTGTTGCTAATTGCTAACAACTGAGCTGTCAGCTCCTTTCGCATAAGCTTGGCAGGGCAGGCAGCAGGCTTGGATGGCAATAGGTCGGGTACGGCGGTGTACGGCATATATCCCCGGGTGTGCCGGGGCTTCCGCGGTGCCTAACAAAAT